AATGGTATCAATGTGGATTTCACAAGTTTCAAAATCTCCCCTCCCCCCACCGCATCCCAAAACCAGTCCAACTCGTCCCTGCCTCCCTAACCTGTTCTTCCTCCCACCTATCCCCTCCTCCCACCTCAAGCCGCACCTCCATCTCCTACCGACCTACCTCATCCCGCCCCCTTGACCTGTCCGTCCTCCCTGGACTGACCTATCCCCTTCCTAACTCCCTACCTACACTCACCTTTCCTGGCCCCATCCCCGCCTCTTCGACCTGTTTGTTTCCTCTCCACCTATCCTCTCCTCTATCCCTCTTCTATCCGCCTCCCACTCTCTCCCTATTTATTTCAAAACCCCCTCCCCCTCCCCCTTTTCTGATGAAGGGTCTAGGCCCAAAACGTCAGCCTCTCTGCTCCTATGATGCTGCTTGGCCTGCTGTGTTCATCCAGCCCTGCACCTTGTTGTCTAAGTTACCTACTTATATGTGTTCATAACACAAAACACCTATCTGAGTCACTTAATTAAATTTCAGTTTCAGCTGGTTCTTAATTAAGCTGGTGTTCGACGGGAACCATTGAAAAAACTCTGCCAAGGCCACCTGGCCATTACAGAATTTCAAACTGTAGCTTTCAGTTTGATGCCAACTACAAAGACAAACTAGATTAACTTTGTGCAGAATAAAATAAAAATTTAGACTTTGTTACCTAGCCATACACTAATCACAATACATGTAACATCCTTGAGGCTGTATGGGAAAAGGTGGTTCCCTGAACAGATTGTCAAAGTTATTTGGCAGAATGCCTCATTGGCAGAACTTTCCAACAAGCACCAAGGTGTAGCTCAACTGATAATGACCTGTCAAACCCTGTGTGCACATCTTAAATTTCTGCACCACTGCCCTCTAGATGGCTGCAGTGGAGAAGAGAATGCTACATATCTCCTTCCAGAATGTGCTTTCGCAAAGAATGTCTGGAGAGAGTTACAGTAATTTTTGTTGAGGTTTGGACTGAGTAGCTCCTTGCTGTGGGTCTCTCTGGAATATACACTCCAAATGCTGTGAGAAAAGTAACAACTGAGCCTGGAGACCATCAACTCACTATGTGCTGAGGGATGCATTGAAATTGGGTAGCTACTGCAAAGGGGGAAGCTCACAGTCCACGGCCTTTCTGCCATAATATCTTGAGGGTCTTATAACTTGTACAACCTTTGGTAGCTTGTATTGGAATGTAAACAATTTCCTGTCATAAGTAGTAAATGTTCCAATATGGCACTCTAATGGGGGGGGGCACCAAAGGTACAATGCTCAAATGAGAAATGAAATTTTAATGTATTTTCTGTAACACTGGTCTTCAACTTTTTTTTGGAACTGATAGATAGTTTATGAAATAAAGTATACATTTGCAAAATAAATACTAGAACCTTAAGAGGAGTAGGTCAATAGCTGGGTATTCTATGGTGAGTTGACCCACCTTGTCACTCCTCAAAACGTTCTACCTCGAATAAGCTACAAGTTAGAATTTTGATGCAATAAGAAGAACAGAAGAACTGGATAGGGCGATAATTCCCTTTTCGGTTTTATGCCGGCTAACAGTTTCGCAGCGCCTTTAAGATGAGCAGAGCTGCGGCCTGCCAGCGGGGCTCTGGGTTGCAGTTTTCAGAAAGAACTGCAGATTCAGAGCAATGGTGCGCACTCTCGTTTCTCCGGCAGTCAATGCATTTCTGCTGGACATCGAGGGGACCACGACTCCCATCTCCTTTGTAAAGGTAAAGCGAACAAAACGAGCAGGAATTTCGTAACACGAGGCCTCCGTTTTAAAGAATACAAGTCGCGAGGGCTCTTTCCCTGCTACAATGAGGTGAACGTGGTGAAACGAGCCGGAGTTCGACTCGTTCGTGTTGGTCCTGCATGCAGTTACTGCAACAAGTTGAATATTGGCCTCTGCCACTCTAAGGCCAGGAGTAGCTGCACCAGGGCACTCATCGCCAAAATATTCCTAAAACTAAAGTTATGGGTCAAAATAGTCATAGGATGGCCACATTTCTCATTTGAGCTTTGCAATGCCCACGTAATGCTGTGTACATGTTGAAACTCACTGCCCCACTTAAGAGTCCTTAAATCTGCACAGAGCTTTCATGTCTCTTCATGCGAAAATACATACATAAGAACAAGGAGTAGGGCACCTAGTATTCAATAAGGTCTGATTAGTCCACGTGCCTCCTCATCTTTGTCTTAAATGAGCGCCTCCTTATTCTGAAACAAAAACCGAAGTTGCTGGAAAAGCTCAGCAGGTCTGGCAGCATCTGTGGAGAGAAATCAGAGTTAACGTTTCCGGTTCAGCGACCCTTCCTCAAAACTGCTTGTAATTAGGAAAAGTTATCTTTTTGCAGAAAATAGGCTGGAGGGCATAAGGAGTAAATGCTAAGTGGAGATAGAGACCAAAGAGAGAAGAACAGTTGGACAGACAAAGGTGTGAATAATGATCAGTCTGGGAGAGTGAATAGTTATGAGTGGCTAACATTGGGTGCTATGTAATAGCAGACCATGTGATAACAAGGCCTGGTGTGTGGGGGCTGGGGTGAGGACATAGGAGAAGATGCCTGAAGCCCCAAAATTGTTGAACTCCATATTGAGTTCAGAAGTGGGTAGAGTTCCCAAGCGGAAAGTGAGGTGCTGTTCTTCCAGCTTATGTGGAGCTGCACTGGAGCAGTGCAGCAAACCTGAAACAGACATTTTGGGCAGGGAACACGATGGTGTTTTGATGTTCCAGGCAACTTGAAGCTCAGGGTCTTTTTTGCGGATAGAAAGTAGATGTTCTGCAAAGCAATCACCCAATCTACGCTTTGTTTCCCCAATGTAGAGGAGGCCACGCTGTGAGCAGCAAATACAGTAGACTAGATTGTGTGAAGTGCAGGTAAAGCACTGCTTCACCTGGAAGGTATATTTGGGTCCTTGGCCTTGAGGAGGGAGAAAATAAACAGGCGGTGTTGCACCTTCTAGGGCTGCGGGGAAGATGCCATGGGGAGGGGGTGAGGTGTTGGGAATGAAGGAGGCATGGACGAGGGTGACCCGGAGGGAATGGCCCTTATGGAGAGCTGACTGGGGAGGGAAGGGGAATATGTCTGGTGGTGACATCCTGCTGGAGGTGGTGGAGACTGTGGCTAATGATCCTCTAAATGTGGATGCTAGTGGGATGGTAGGGGAGGACAAGGGGGACGCTATTGCTGATGTGGGAGGGAAGAGAGGGGGTGAGGACTGAAGTGCGAGAGATGGGTCAGACCTGGCTGAGGGTCTTATCAATTACACTGCTGGGGAATCCTCAGCTGAGGAAGAAGGTGGACATTTCAGAGGTACCCATGTCAAAGTTGGCAACATCAGAATAGATGTGATGGAGATGGAGGAACTGGGAGAGTGGAATAGAGTCCTTACAAGAAGCAAGGTATGAGGATGTATAGTCAAGGAAACTGGGAGTCGGTTGGTTTGTAGTGGATATTGATGGCTAGACTACCCTCAGAAACGGAAACAGAGATGTTGAGGAAGGGAAGGGAGGAGTCAGAGGTAGACCAGGTGAAGGTGAGAGTGGGGTGGAAATTGGAAGCGAAATTGATCAACTTTCCCAATTCTGGAAAAGAGAGGGAGGCAGCACCAATGATATCGATATACCAGTGAAAGAGTTATGGGTGGGGGTCCAGAATAGGACTGGACCAAAGGAAAGCCCTGAGACCATTCTGATGGGAGATGGATGTGTAAAGGGATTGCATGTCCATGGTAAAGAGGAAGCAGCTGGAGCCCACAAGCTATGCCCTCTGGTCCTGGACTCTCCCATAAGGGGAAACAACCTCTCCACATCGACCTGGTCAAGTCTTCCCATAAGAATCTTGTATGTTTCAATAAGCCCGCTTTTTCATTCTTCTAAACTCCAATCAGTACAGGACCAACCTACCCAACCTCTTCCCATTGACAGATGTTAAGCTAAATGGTCTACAGTTTGCTTTTTTAAAAATATTTCCTCCCTTTTGAATAAAGATGTTACATTAGCAGTTTTCCAATCCTCTGGGACCTTTCTAGAATCTAAGGATCCTTGCAAGTTTACTATCTGTGCATCACTATCTCTGTGGCTACTTCCTCAAAAGTCCTAGAATGCATTCCATCTCTATTTTCTTAAACATCTTCCATTGTTCCACTTCCTTCCATAAGCCTTAACTCTAAGAAATTCAAACATCTGCCCAGCTCAGCCTTGAATGTATTCAATGGCTTAACTTCCATTGTTCTCTGGAGTAAAGAATTCCAAAGACAGCAATCTTCTGTGAGTGGAATTTCTTTCTCATCTCTGTCTTAAATTGTAAACCACTTTGAAATGCTGTCCCCGAGTTCTGGGGTTCATGCTTGACTTTAAGCATTAGCTCTGTTTCTCTTCACAGATACTGCCAGACTTGCTAAGTTTTTCCAGTGCTTCCTGCTTTTATTTCTACCCTGTCACATTCTCCCAATCTCTCTTTCTTCTAAACTCCAATTACTTGAGGTTTAACCTACTCAACCCACTCAATCTGTCCTCAGGGGAAATCCCATTCATTCTAAAAATCAACCAAGTGAACCTTTTTTGAACTTCTTCCAGTGAAAGTATGTCCCTCCTTAAATAAGGAGACGATGTCCTATACTGATATAGCAAGACTTCCCTCCGTTTACACTCCATCTCCCTTGTAATAAAGACCAGCATTCCCTTTGCATTTTTAATTAGTTGCTGTGTCTGTAAAACCTGTCGAGTTATTTAGATGTCAAGGTTGTGTATTTACCAACAATTCTGCTGCCAATAGTTTAAAATATTTATTAAATAAGAAGAATTATATTTACAAAAGGACTGGAAGCTGGGCTTACCTACTCTATAACAAGTTACAATTCCCGGCGGAACTCTGTATTATAGTACAGATTACTTCATGGGGTGCATACATATCTACATATACTTAAACTTTAAAAGGTAAGCTTGTTCAGAACTTTCTGGATTCATCACTGGATTTCAATATAAGTCTAAAACACAAAGTTTGGGTTGTTTCTGAGACATGATTCTTTTTATGAATATTTTCAGTTTGATGTACACCAGCTTTTTGTAAAACACTGATCACAGAAAATGAAATGCTTCACAAGGGGTAGAAATGTAAAAATTGAGCAGAATTTTGGGTAAGACACAAGAGTTACTTCTAGAATTCTTAGAAGCACCTTTCAGATCTTTAGAATATGGCAACATGCTTCATAGCCAGTTTAACACTTTTGAACCAGTGTCATTGCAGGGGAAATTAGAATCATAAAATCCCTACAGTGGGGAAGCAGGTCATTGGGTCTGCGCCAACCCCTATGCCACATTTCCCATGGCTAATCCATCTAGCCTGCATGTCCCTGGATACAATGGGGCAATTTAGTATGGCTAATCCACCCAACGTGCACATCTTTTGGACTACAAGAGGAAACCCTCACAGAGGCAAGCAGCATGTGCAAATTCCACATGGACAGTCATCTAAGGCTGGAATTGAACCCCAGATCCTGGGCCTGTGAGACAGCAGTGCTAACTACAGTGCCACCATAGCATCGTGCTTAGTTTTGGAAGGTAATTTCAGAGACAGGATCATAATTGCTCAAAGATCTCTTTGCAGTTCTGAAGCAGAGGGGGCATATAATACCAGTAACCTGGAGTTAGGGATTGAAGAATGTGCACTGAATCTCATGTATCATAGAGCTAAATAAGGTTACATAGAGAGTTCAAACGAGGGACGAGGATCTTAAAGTAAGTGTGTTGCGGTGCAGATGTAATCAGTAATGATTTATGAATCAAAAGTTCTACATTTTGTGAAGTTTCTCGTGGTAAGTGAGGTCAAAAAATAGATAAGGGTTTTTGCAGCAGAGGGGTGAATTAAGGATGGAAGCAAGCAATGTCTAGAAATGAACAGGGGGAAACTTGGTGCTAATCCCCCCCATATGTGGTGTAGGAAGCACAATTCAAGATTAGAGAATGCACATCAAAGTATTGCCAAGGTCTGAATTTCTGTTATAGAATCCCTGCAGTGTGGAAGCAGGCCATTCAGTCCACACTGACCCTCTGAAGAGCATTCTACTCAGACCCACCCCATCCCTGTAACCCTACATTTCCCATGGCTAACCCACCTAGCCTGCACATCCCTGGACACTATGGGCAATTTAACATGGCCAATCCATCTAACCTGCACATCTCTGGACTGTGGGAGGAAAGCAGAGCACCCAGTAGAAACCCACACAGACAGAGGGAGAATGTACAAACTCCGCACTGTCACCCAGTGCTGGAATGAAACCCAGGTCCCTGGCACTTTGAGGCAGTAGTGCTAACCACTGAGCCATCATACCACCCTATGGGTGGTGATTTGTAGCAAAAGCACTTTGCAAGCCATTATTAATTCTCAGCAATTTATTTTTGCATACGTTGGGCTTGCTTGTGCTGTATAAACTAATGTGTGTGTATGTATTTTTAAATTAGGATGTTTTGTTTCCTTACATCAAAGAAAATGTGAAGAGCTACCTCCATACACACTGGAATGAGAAGGAATGTCAGGAAGACATTGACTTTTTGAGAAAACAGGTATATCTGACAGGTCAGATTATTACTCCCTAGATAACTGTCACCTCGAGGGATAAGTAATATTTTGCTGAACTGAATGCAATAAAGGGGAAATGTGTTGCAAACCTGATGGAGGGATGGAAGGCTGCATTTGCTGCCAGCTTAGCTGCACCCGCTGTTGTCACAGCCCAGCAGTAGTGACCCTGCAGGACTTGGGTAATGGCTTCTATGACAGAATTTGATAATCAGTGTACCTCCTGCTAACACAGTTCATCAGGAATTCAGGGCAGTTTACACTATCACAGTGTGTCCACATCAGACTGGAACTGGTCCTGGTGCTTCCCGTTGTTACTACTTCTCTCTTCACTGCCTTTGCTGCTCCTTTTGATCCCCTAACCCTTGGTGCCCTCATTTGAGACAGTGACACACTGAGGGCTCTCCTCTGGGTCAATCATTTTGTAATTCATTTTAGGGACACTAAGCTACTGTATTAAGTAAACTTACATTTAAAATATAACATGAAATTACACGTAGTTTGACAGTCCCTTTAACCTAACTACTAAGAAATACTGATATAAACATTATAAAGGGCTGTGTTTTCTGCCTCCACAACTACAGGGGGTACACTCATGCCCCAGGCAGTTGCATTTCTGTGATGTCACTACCAATGTTGCAGTAGCAAGGTGTCTGCACCAAACAATAACAGCAATAACATGAGTGTCTCACAAATATTTTAAAAGGATTAAAAACCTGGATCACAATTTGACCACTGTCTCACTCCAAACACTTGCCTGTCTTGCTCCTGACCACTTGTTGTCCCCATCTGGCTTATTGCTGTGCTACCCCCCTGTTCACTGCCCCTGAGAGTGAGTGAACCTGTGAGTGGGGTGAGGGAGGTGACAAGGTTTTGGAAGATTATCAGGAATGTGAGGGAAAATTATTTCGAAGGTACTGTCAGATCAGCCATGATCTCATTGAATGGCAGAGCAGCCTTGAAGGGCTGAATGGCCTACTCATGTTTCTGAGTTGACTGCAAATATGCTGTTCTATCACCTTTGTAATATTTTGTAGGCAATAGCATACTTGAAGTGATGGAAGGAAGTAGCCTCTCCACTGTTACTCAGTTCTAGCCAGGTAGATTCTGTCTCAGACCATTCAACTGAATCTTCCCTCTACAGTGCTGAAATAGTCTATTTAATCAATGTTCCCAATTCCACCTCTGTTTTCTTTTGTCCTTCCCTTTCTTTACTGAATTCCTGGTAGACAGGAACATCAACATCTGAATCCTTCCCTTCTTTAAACTTGCTGTCTCTGATTCCCAATACAGAAGTCCTTAGTGTTTATTCATGCCTTCAATTTAATTTTTCATGCATTGTGCGTTTATGTGCACATATTTCAAAGCTATCTTTGATTGTCTTATGTTAATACCCCCACCCCAACCCATGTTCCCTACAATTTCTGAACTATTTTATATGCTAAAGCTTATTTTTTCTCATTTGGATACCTTGTGTAACTTCTGTAATGCTTCTTTTATGTGTCCTAGGCTAAAGATGACAAGGAATTAGAAGGAGCAGTGCTAATTCCAGAATGGTGTTCAGGAGAGAATGCTGACAAGGAACAAGCTCTTGAAATAGTGACAAATAACGTCTTGTGGCAGATGTCCCAGGACAGGAAGACAACAGCTTTGAAACAGCTGCAGGGTCACATGTGGAGGGAAGCCTTTCTACATGGAGAAGTAAAGGGAGAGTAAGTGATTTAAAAGGTGTACATTATGGAACAAATTGCATTTGATCCCACAAATAGAATCAGAAGGTGCAATCTTACCATTTTTTAGCTCCGTGCGAGTCATGTGGAGTTTGGTGGAGTGATTAACGTGGCAAAGCCAAGCAAGTGTTTGCACTGTATCTTACCAAATTTGCCACGTTAATTGCCATTTGAACCCTCGCAGTGAGAATCATGTCCTGCACCTGTCCCATTTCACCGCTCCCAGTGCAACTTGGTACTCACTAGAGACCACAGAATTGACTGGCATCCCTGGTGCCAGTGACACCTTTCAAAAGCCATTATGCATCTGGACCAGCACTGTCAGTCTAGAGCTACCCTGCATGGTTCCTGATATTTGCCCCAGACGTAGCAGACAGGGAGATATCAGCACTCGACTTTATGGGCAGGATCCTGGAGATCCTGCTGGATGGGGCACTGCAGAGGTGGGACATTCTCTTCCTCAGGACCAGCAATGGAGGTCACAACACCAGCTCATACCAACCTGGTTCAAGGTTGCCACCCGGATCAGTGCAGTTTTAACCATCTGGAGGAATACCCAGCACCGCAGGAAGAAGGTCAATGACTTTCTCTGCTCGCCAGGGTAAGTGCCACCATCTTCAGTCCGATACCTTACACTCACTCTATCTCTGCTACTGTACCCACCTCCCGCCAAGACTCATGCCCTATCACTCTCACTATTGCCTGCAAACCTCCCCACCTCACTTTCACCCACTCCAACCCCTGACACCACTAATATGCCCTCTGTGCTGCCTACTCACTTGCTCGGGATACCTCCCCACCTGCACCAACAGTAACGGCTGTGCCACCCACTTTCATCTCCCTGAATACCAGCCGCTGTCTCATTCCAGGAGGAAAGTTGCTGACAGTCAGGCAGAAAGAGTCTAGGCAAGTGGTAGGCTGTTCTTCTTTCCGCTCCTCATGACAAAGAATCCTGACTCTGCCCTGAGTGAAGACTACTCCCTTGACTTGACTGAGGCTTGTTGATAACTGTGCAAGCTTCCTGGCTCTGTATCTGTGTTAAATGACATGGCAAGAACTTGTAACATGAAGCTGATCTGTCTGGCTGAGGGGGAAAGGCAAGGCAAGCAAGACAGGCCACTATGAACATCCACCCTGTATCCTGAGCCTGTGCACCCTGATGTAGACTCCTCAACCTGGGAACACAGATTGATGGGAACACCACCACCTGCAAGTTGTCCTCCAAGCCACTCACCATCCTGACTTGGAAATATATCATCATTCCTTCACTGTCAATGGGTCAAAATCCTGAACCTCCGTCCCTAATGGCATTGTGGCTGTACCTACACGAAATAAACTGCAGCGGGTTGAGAAGGCAGCTCATCAGTACCTTCTACTAGGAATGGACAATAATTGCTGGCCCAGCCAGCAATGCCCACACCTCGTGAATAAATAATTTAAATAAAATCCTCCCTGCATCTGGTCTGTCCAGCCCTGTTATAATTTTATATGTTTCAATCAGGTCCTCTCTCATTGTTCTAAACTGTATTGAATACAGGTCTAGTCAAACCAATCTCTCCCCATATGCCAGTTCTGCCATTCCTGGTATCAGCCGAGTGAACCTTAGCTGCAGTCCCTCTGTGACAAGGATATCCTTTCTTACATAGAGAGACCAAAACTGCATGCAATAACTCCATGTGTGGTCTCTTCAAGGCCCTGTATAACTGCAGTCAGACCTCCCCACTTCTGAACTCTGATCCTCTTGCAATGAATACCATTTACCTTTCTAATTGCTTGCTGTGTCTGCATGTCTACTTTCATTGGTGTCCAGGAAAACCCAGATTCGTTTATACATCCACATTTCCCAATACACAGTAATTTAAATGAAACTCTGTCTTTCTGTTTGTCACACTGAAGTGTATAACCTCACCTTTAGCCACATTGAACTGCATCTGCACTCACTAAACTTGTCTGAATCACCTTGAAGCCTCCTTGCATTCTTCTCACAACTCAATCCCACCGAGTTTTGTGATGGCAGCAAAATTGGAAATGTTGCATTTGGTTTCCTCTTCAGGTCATTTATAAATATCGTGAATAGCTGGGGCCCAAGCACTGATCCTTGTGGTACATGATTAGTCACTGCCTGCCACCCGGAAAAGGACCCATTTATTCCCACTGTCTATTTTCTATATGTCTATCAATTCTCAATCCATGCCAACATATTACCCTTTTCCCATGTGCCTTAATTTTGTCCATTAACCTCTTATGTAGGAAAGCCTTCTGAAAATCCAAGCATACCACATCCGCTGGTTGTCCCTTATCCGTTCCTCCAGTTACATCCTCAAAAAACTCCAGTAGATTTATTAAACATGATTTGCCTTTCTTAAATCCATGCTGGTTTGTCCAACCCTGTTAATGCTTTCCAAATGTTCTGCTATCACGTCTAGTATAAAGTAGTGGACAGGGACATATCTGTGGATATTCTTTATAAGGACTTAAGAAGGTATTTGATAAAGCTCCACATAAGGGTAGGAACTCACAGAACTGAGGACAAATTACTGACAGGGCTGGGAAATTGGTTGAGTGGCATGCGACAGATGTAGGGATAATGGGCAAGAACTCAAAATTGGCAGGATGTGATCTGTGGTGCCCCATAAAGGCCTGTGTTAAGGTCTCAATTATTCATATTATTTGTTGACAGCTTGGTAATGCCACAGAAAGTCATATATCCAGATTTACTGATGGCACAAAGTTAGGCGGCACTGTAGACAGTGTAGATGATAGCATAAGATTACAAAGGGATACTGATAGACTAAGTGAGTGGGAAAAACTGTGACAAGATGGAGTTCAATGTAAGCAAGTGTGAAATTATCCATTTTGAATTAAAAAAGAGTAGATCAGGGTTTTTCTAGATGGTATGAAGTTAAATACAGTGGATGTCCAAAGAAACTTGGGTGTTCAGGTGTGCAGATCTTTAAAATGTCATGAACAGGTGCAGAAATAACCAAGAAATCTAAAGGAATGCTGGCCTTTATAGCTAGAGTCCTAGGGATGCAGAGTTATGCTGCAGTTATACAAAACCCTGGTTAGATCCCATTTGGCGTACTGTGAGTAGATCTCGGCACCACACCTTAGGAAGGATATATTGGCCTTAGAGGAAATACAATGTAGGTGTACAAGAATGATACCTGGACTCCAGGGGTTAAATTATCAGGAGAGATTATGCAAATTATACCTGTTTTCTCTAGAATTTAGAAGTTTAAGGGGTAATCTAATCGAAGTCCTCAAGATACTAACAGGAAAAGACAGGATAGATAAAGATTAACTATTTCCACTGTTCCAGACCTAGAGGGTGATATTGGATTGTGGTTGGCTGTGATAACCTTTCAGTCCTTGCTATCTGGGCTTGCCGACACTGAAATGGCTACTGGGATTCTGGTAACCTTCTGGTATCTTACCCATGAAATCAGACACTCACAAGGGTCAGTGCTGTTAAGGAAAAGAAAATTGAATAGGAAACAATTCCGAATGGAGCAATGGCTAATTTTTTTGAATAGATGCGAATTACTATTGTGTTTTAACATTCCTCTTTATTATTGTTGAATGTGAGTCAGAGTGTATAAAGATGTTGCTCCAGCAATTAAAGAGTGGAGAAAGGAAGGCAAGAAGGTGTACATCTACTCTTCAGGCAGTGTGGAAGCTCAGAAGCTTCTGTTTGGATACTCTGTCGAGGGAGACCTGTTGGAGGTAGGAAACCTTTGTTTGTTGCACTTGTCCTTACTGATAGTGTGGTTTCCTCAACCAGTTCATCAGTGTGAAAATATACTGGCACTGCTCAGACTGGAAATTAAAACGAAAATCTGCAAAGGTTCAGGCATTCCGAGCTCTTCTAGGTCAGCTGGTCAATGCAGTAGATGAGATGCTTAGACATAAAGACTAGAAAGATCCCAACTACCATTGCTGGAGCGTGCTGAGAAAAGCTTGCCCGGAAAGCTAACACCATACAACACAAACCAGAAGATCAAAACCTAATGGTGACCATTGTTGATGGTTGTAAAACAAATCCATCATGTGGATAAATGACTTTTAGGGAAGGAAATCTGCTATCCTTGTTGAGTCTGGCCTACATGTGCTTCCAGATCACACTAATACGATAAATCTTAACTGGACTAAACATTTAGGAATTCTCACTGGGGACATGCAGCCAGAACTGTCTGCCAAGATGCCTTAGAGCTGGGGGTGGTGAATCAAGGCGGGTTGGATGAAGTCAATGCAAATATCCTGACTCGAAATAAGGAACAGGGTTGCTGCTGTTAGGAGAAAGGAAAAGTGTTCTACCACTTTCCAAACTTTCTTTTGATTTTATTAAACCACATCTCTTGGGTGGTACCATTGGAAACTTTTTACACAATTGTCATATTTTCGCTCAGCACAGTCTTAAAAGGTGGAGCTAAAAACTGAGGAGCAGCAATATCTCAGCGAAGATAACCAGATGAAGGTGTTCATGAGCTGTTAGGGTGTTTCTCAGTGAATTCAGTAACTGTGTATATAACAGACAGACTTGTTTTACTAAGAGTCTTCCATCTAGTATTTCCTTATAGCAGCTGAAGATTAATTGAATCCAAACTTCTAATTTTCTGATCTTCATGAAGTTGATATCACACCAAAAAACAAATGTCTGTGAGGGATCTGGTCGTTTAGTAATAATGTCACTGACGTGGTAATCTAAAGGCCCGGGCTAATCTTCTAGTGATTCAAATCCTACCATGGTAGATGATGAAATTTGAATTCAATTAAAAATAACCTGGAACTTAAAAAAAAAGTCTAACGGTGACCATTGTTGATGGTTGTGTAAAACAAATCCATCAGGTTGATAAATATCTTTTAGGAAAGGAAATCTGCTATCCTCGTTGAGTCTGACCTACATGTGCCTCCAGATCACAGTAAGTCTTAAGTGCCTTCTGAAATGGCCAATCAATTCCAGAGCAATTAGAGATGGGCAGCAAATGCCAGCTTTGCCAGTGATACCAACATCCTGTGCAAGAAAAAAATATGCTGACATGCAATGTTTCCCCATAGGGAGGAAGTGGCGTAGTGGACTAGCATTCCACACATCCAGGTTCTGAGAACACAGATTCAAATCCCACCATGGCAGATGGTGAAATTTTAATTCAATAAAAAATTGGAATTTAAAAGCTAGACTAATGGTGATTTATAAGCACTATCGATTGTTGTAAAAACCAATCAGGTTCACTAATCTCCTTTAGGGAAGGAAATCAGCCATCCTTAATGCCCTGGCCTACATGAGACCACAGCCCCACAGCAATATGATTGACAAAAATATTGGCCTTCCCAGCAATGCCTACATTCCATGAACAAATTATAAAAAAAAGGCAAAGAATTCTTTGCACAGAAATGAAAGTTACAAGTTTCTTTCGTAGAGTCTGAAGCTCTCATACTTTCAAGGAATACTGGTCATGCAAGTAAGTCTGAAACCCACTTAAATTTGTGAAAATCCTTCTTTTTAGTGATGTTGTTTATCTTTGAAACAGTGCTTACTTGATGTACATGTGCAGTTTAGTTTTACCCAGTGTGGTAGATATTCCTTGGGTTATTTGGAAGCCTTAGTTTCTGTAGGACAAATTCTTTTCCTTATATTACATGACATGACATTTGTAGAGATGTCTTTGGTACAGGAGACATAAAGGTCTCTAAAGCAGACTGTTTAATATTGAGTAGAGTGACAATAATATTTCAGATTATTGCATTTGAAATTCCCCATCATTTGTTAGTAGCATGTTCCGACACTCCACCCCTCCCACGCCCCAAAACAGAAGTCCCTATTCCTTTGTATTTTTCATTTCAAAAATACACTTTATTCATAAGAAGTCTTTATATACAATAATAGTCACTAGAGCAGTTCAACTCTGTACAGTCTTTACATATGGAGAACAAACAAATGCAAGGCATTTCTTACTTATATAAGATGATATTTACATATATGTGAGGCACCAGGAGGGCCCAATCAGACCTGACAGCAATCAAGACTCATAAAACAAGTACTGGCATGGCGAGAAGAGAAAAATGGAATGTTAAGCCCGTGGAAGAAACTAATGCCTGGGTGTAATGATGCAAATGACACAAAACAACCCAAAAGGAAAATATCAATGAAAAGCCTAACTTCTACCTTTTAAGGTTTTGAGAATACAACCAAAAATGAAAGACTCAAGCCAGAACCCCTTTCTATGTGTTAAAATGAGAGCAGTGAACCCATCCTTAAACACTGTGTAGATTGCTACTCTGCTTAGTAGTCCCTTGCCCATTCCTGCCCAACTTAGTGATCTAGTCCAGGGGGTTTTAAGTGAATTGATGTGAAATCATTCGAAAATAAATCCTACAAATTGCTACTATTCTTTGATACCACTGGTGCTGCTACTGGTGACAGCATAGGCACTGCGACTGCATGTGGCAGTGGGTGTGCCACCTGCAATTGCAGTGGCACCAAATGCAGCCCTTTTTAAATACTGTCTTTCCTTTCATTCCTATCAATCTTAAATAGTTCTTGGATTCAATTTTCAAGCAGCAATCAGTCAGCTGAACATAGCTGGAGGAATGGTTGTAGGGGGTTGTAGGGTTGTAGGGGTTATGAAGAAGGGTCTAGGCCCAAAACGTCAGCTTTCCTGCTCCGCTGATGCTGCTTGGCCTGCTGTGTTCATCGAGCTCTACACCTTGTTATCTCTTGAATGGTTGTAGGTCCTGGTATCCCTGGTCCACAGTTCTTGCTGCTGATCACAACTTCCAGCACAGGCTGAAGGTTAATCTGTACATCAAGCAAGGACAAGGTCAGTGTCTACGGAACAGGGCCCAGTAGGAGTCAGTGCTCTCAAGACAGGATGAAATAAACGATCATCATTTATTCCCTAATAAAATAATGACAAACAGTACAACTAGGTTTAGCAGTTAAATGTAAAACAATACAGTTGGCCAGTAGAGATAACAAGGTGTAGAGCTGGATGAACACAGCAGGCCAAGCAGCATCAGAGGAGCAGGAAGGCTGACGTTTTGGGCCTAGACCCTTCTTCAGAAAAATTGGCCAGTATATGGTTTAGAAATGCAACAAGCTGTTGACATTGAGTGGTGTAAAGTAGTGATGAATCTAAAGTTTTAACAAAGTACATATCTAAAGGTGAAAGTGATGAATGTATGGCATTTGTTTCATCCTCACAGCTTTTTGATGGCCATTTTGACACAAAGATTGGATCCAAAGTAAAAGCTGAAAGCTACAGAGAAATTGCTAAAAATATTGGTTGTTCCACAGACAACATACTTTTCCTAACAGATGTGACAAAAGGTACATATCTATTCAAATATTTATTGCTTGTTTTTGCAACTTATTTGAGTGTTCAGTGACATTTCTGTGGGGAACGAAAAAAGAACGAATAAGAGCTGCTAAGATGTGAGATAGCAGTGTATTGGTAATGTTACTGGACATCAAAGACCCCGGCTAATGCCCACAGGACGAGTTCAATGGCCAATGTGATGGCTGGTGGAATTTAAATTCAAAAAACAAATCATGAATACAAAGCTAGTCTCAATATTTTTGTTGCAACAATTCTGAGATTCTGTTTTGAAGAAGAAAATGTGCAGGTTATGGGGAGAAGGTTGGAGAGTGGGATTAAGTGAAATGCTCAATCAGATGCTAAGCAGACACAGTGGGTCCATCTTTCTGATAAGTGGTAATCTCATGCAGATTGCAATTCTGCTCTTATTTGTATGTAATGGAAGACCTCTACAGGACAGGAGATTCCGATCAGGGCTCCTCCAGGACCCTTCCTTCCGTCTGACAATTCTCTCGTAGCACAGTACAATCGGCAGAAGGCAAACCATGCCCTCTTTCACAGAAGTCAGCTGCCATCTGCTAAAGTTGAAAAGACTAGAATGATACAGTAACATACGAACAGTCCATACATGTGGTAAGTTTGAGGTTGGTGTCGAGGGGCTGGTGCCAGATAGGTAGGACCCTCTAAGTAGGGTGCCATTTGGTATGGTGTAGTGTAACAGGAAGTCAGGTGCCAGATGTGATGGTGTGCCAAGAGGGTAGGTAGTGTGCCAGTTTAGTAGTATAGAATGCCAAATAGGTAGGGTACCAGTCTAGTCGGGTGCAAGTCTGTGATTCTGTCTTAAAGGTAGGTTGGTGTTGGTGAGAGATTCTGAGTGTGGGGGACCAGGAGCGTGGTGTGGCAGCAGGGTTGGACAAACGATGCTTTCCAGCAGACTTTCACGGGAGGTGGGGGCGAGAGTTGGATTGGATCCAGAGCTGAGAACCAATTGGAGTGGAGGCTGATAATGGGTAAGAGTATGGCTGTGGGTCAAGAGGATGGGAAGGGTGATGCTGGGTGCCTGAAGGGGGTGGGAAAGGGCGAATGAGTTTGGAGTGGGGTGGGTGTAGGGGGACATGTCAGATGCTGAGCAGGGTCGGGGTGTTGAGTCTGGTGAGGGGTCAGAATCTTGTGCTATAAGGGTTCCGGGGGAGTTGTTGTTGGGAATGTGAGATTAGTAATGGGATCTCCTTAATAATTAGTCGGAAGTTAGACTATGTATTTAATACTCTAACTTTTCCTGAATAACTAGTTCATTAAATTAATTGGAACTTTTTGAATGCTCCAATTTAGATGGACATTCACGGTAGATTCCAAGAGTAGAGGAATTGGCCAACAGAATCTTCAATTTCTTGGGCAATTCCTTCAGAGTCTGCAATGATGGGGGTTTTTCGGGGTCTCCGTACACAACTCCATTCTACACTGGAGTAATGACTGGCCATCAGAAATTCCAGGCCATTGGGCTGAATGGCCTCCTTGTACACTGTCATAATTGGTTTTTTTTGGAAAGGATGCATTCGAGTGAGTAGAGTGCAATGATCTTGCCTGTATTGGCAAATCTTGAATAGTAACAGTGCTTAAAGTAGCAGGTTTGAAATAAATCAATAATATGTATTATTTTGTACGGATAGATTGTGGTACTGACTTTAAAGAGCTGGCATTTTTTTGAAGTGCAGGGAATTCGCTCAGTGTTTTGGTCAGCATTTCTCCCTCAACTATTACCACCAGAATACAGATTAACCATTTATTCATTCTGTTTATACAATTTTTGTTTGCAAATTGGCCGCCACATTTGCCTCCTGAACAGTTTACTGACACTTCTGAATCGTCATTCATTGCACACAATGTATCTAGGGTGTTTGGTGTGATATGTAAATGCAAACATTTCTTCTACATTCCAACAACAGATCACATCCCAAGTATTAACAAACCACTGGCAAGGTTTAATACAATACTATTTAGTTAACATCAGTGAGCCTTGTGATTTATGTTCACAATTATAACATTCGCCTTGTCATAGTTTCAAGTCAAAAAGGGGTCAATAAGAATTTATTGGACTATCATTGATTTAATGTGCTAAAGATTAAAGGATATTTATTTTATCAAGTGTTTGCTTTTTTTTTATATTTGCAAACAAATAGTTGATGACCTAACGTGTATAACTTTGAGATTATTCTCATGTCATTCTCATGTCTGAAATTTAAGATAAAACACTTGTGAAAAAGTCAAGAGACAACAAGGTATGAAAAAGTCATACCAGACTTGAAATGTTAACTGTTTCTTCCTGCACAGATGCTGCCAGACCTGCTGAGTTTCTCCAGCACTTTGTGTTTGTTTCATTACTTCAGCTTGAATCTTGTTTCCTGTGGCTCATTGCAATTGTGTGCATTTATTCACAAGCACTGAGAGATTTGTTGTCATTCGTCCATATGTTTAGCGTTTTAGTTTATTATTTTATTGGCCCTGTAAATTTTGCTTTTTTAAATATTCTATCAGAGGCAAGGGCTGCGGAAGAAGCAGGAGTTCAAGTGATTCTTGTGGTGAGGCCTGGAAATGCAGAGCTGACAGAAGAAGAAATGTCTTGTTCTATTATCACCTCTTTTGGTGAACTCTTACTATCCGATCCCAAAGCAAACTGAGCAGCTTCAAAGTACAATCAAAAGGATTTACTAAAACCATTTCTCAGCAAGGATTTTCATAAATTTGTTCTAATCATGAGAAAAGCATTTACAATAAGTTTGTTTTCTACAAAAAGATTACGAGAAAGATTAGGACAGTGGCTTGTGATTACTTTCTCTTGTATGTTAAGCTTATGATTTCGGTATTGCTGCTATGGAAAGGTATTGGCTACATAAAGAGGTAATGACGTCGCAAGATGAACAGGAAAATTCAGATGAGAAGTTGGTCCAGGCTACTATCCACACGAGAAGGAACTAGATAATCTACCTTTTCATCAAACGTGCAATTACGGAGATATGCTGTTTTAGGGAAACGTTAAATTTGTGTATCTACTTGAAATGTGAAAAATCCCTAATTGTGCAGTTTGATTTTGTACTTTTACACATTGTTGTGACTGGAAAAACCATTTTGGACTGTAAAGAGGTGAAGCTGAAATGTCTGTGATTTTAATGGGATCAATTTAACATACTTAACTGAGTATATAACACTTCTGGTAAAAATACATTAAGCAATGCTAACAATATCAGAAAGAGAAATAGACATTTGTTTAAACTCCAGTTTTTAACAAAGTATATTTAAATAATTCTAATAAATCTTTAATGCTTAGTTAAGCTTTTCATTTAAAAAAAACGTTTTTTTACTACTTTCTCTGCTTTGGGAAGCTCATGTTATGAACCTCCTCTTCTGAATTATAGAAGACCTGTGCAGTACAAGCCAGGACAAATTGTACTTTGTATATTAATTTCAGTCTGTTTCAGTGCTCTTATTTCAGAATCTGGAGGTCATGGGTTCAAGCATCTCTTCCAAGACTGTACATAGAATCTAACTTTAGCACTGGAATGTGAGAGTGACTCAGTGTTCACAGTGCTAGTTTTTGAGGTAAAAACACTAAATCTGCCTTCTCCTGGGAAGATCCTGTGTCACTATATCTGAGGAGCAAATGTTTTGCCAGTTTCTAAGGGAATAGTCATCCATCAACCATTGTCAATCACTAAAGCAAATCATATTTTTTTTGGTATTACTGTCTGTAGTGCCTTGTGTGAAAACTAGCTGCTGTGTGCCTTCAACTAGAACAGTGATTACATTTCAAAAGTATGTCATTGGCAATGATGTGCATTGGGAGAGCCTGAGGATGTGAAAGCTGCTGTCGAAGTGCAAGTTCTTTCCTGCCATAACAAACTCCTTTAAGGAGCTCCACCTTGTGGTTTCACTTTTAGCAAGTTACAACAGAGTTCCACAAATCAGAAAAGTATATTGTGAGGAGTATTTTTGTACAATTTGAGCTTTGAACACACTTTCCAGTTAAGTAAATTTAAGTAAAGAAATATATACATAATGTGTGAACTGTTAGATTTTGCATGCTGTAAGATGTTTTGTACACATTTTCTTGTGTTTTAAGAGTAGAATTTTCCTAATAATTGTTGAATGGTAGTAGAATTGGTCTTGTGCCTGAATCCAGGACATGAACCCGTGCTGGGCACATGGCATGTACCTATAAAGACCAATGGCGACAACATAGGGGACTGCTGCACTCTTCTCATATCTTCATTGCCAATGTGCTGTGGGCCCCAGTTACAGCCCCAGAGGTTTCAAGGGGGGTTGGTGTAATGGAGACTACTGGATAATTGAATGTAGAGCTATGTGGAGCACTTTTATTCCTTCCAGCAATATAATAGTTAGGATAAAAATTAAAACATTAGCGACAGCATCGTTCGCAGATTTCAAACTTGCAGTATGCCAAGTGCATTCAGTTCAAAATCTCATGGATAAATTTATAGCCTCATGTATGGCTGACACATTGTTCTTCTGTGCTGCTAATGCATATAGGTATAGGAATAGACCATTCTTCTTTTCAAACCTGTTCCACCATTCATTATGTAATGGCTGATGTCTCACACTTGGCTACGTTTTTGAGGAAGAGTTCATCTTTTTGAGTGCTGGGACGACAAAGAATAGGTGGCCTTGTAAGTTTAAATCAAAAGATTGATGTTTATTTTCACAACACCTAGAATATAAATACAAGCAGCCACTTCCCAAACACAGACTGACACTAGAAAAGATGATTTATAGAGATGTAATATGCATGTAGATTACCAAAAGGGTAAGAAGAAACAGGTCATGTGGTTACTTTCTGTTGGCTGAAAATGTTGCAAGTCTGAAGGATTCTCTGTTGAGATGAATGGAAGGTGGAATTTTCTGGATGTTTAAAACAAATTGTGGCTGAGTTCCTGTAGTGAAGAGAATCTTGCAGGTGACCAATTAGTTCCTTCTCATCATCCAAGCTGACTGTCTTTCTTATTAGTGGGCAACCTTTCCTCCTGAGGTACTGGTCCCACTCTACCTTACTGTGTTCCTACTATCCCACAGTTTTACCAGTCGTGTGGTAACGGTATCAGTGTGTTCCATTCTCCATATCATGGATTGGAGTCAATGTATTCGACACACAAGGGGGAATTGTTTGAATCCCATCAAACATCCCGGTTATAATCATCTTGCTGGCTTTATTTGAAATTCCATCTTCATGGGCTATCAGGTCTAGCAGCCAGTGACATTAAAACCCATTCATTGAAAAGGTGAGGGATAGTCAGCTAGCAACTGGGAAATCCATTGTATCTTTGCAGACTCTGTCAGTCTGTCCAGAAATTATCAAAGAAGTTATCTGATTTTCCCAGGTCCATTTTGTAAAGGTATATTTTATACATGTTACTATCTTTTTTTAAACAGAAGTAGTGGCCATTTTCCAATCAGCATAGCCCCATACCCCCAATATTTCTACAAAACATATTTATCAAAGTCTTGAATTTAACCCAAGATATATACCTGAGTTCATCCATTAATAGCCTGCAACAGTTGGTTTACTGTTCCAATGCCTACTTTTGCCCAGAACTACATGTCCATCCATCTAGCTGGCTGGAAGAGGTTGCAGGCAAAAGACAATTGAAGCAATGTGGAGGTAAGAAAAACATTTTTAAACAAAAATCAAATACTTTGCACAAACAGATAATCAATTAGAATTTGGGTTCAATATAATTGCAACACTGCACGCTGAAGATCAAGAAGTAGATGTCTCCTTTTGAGTTTTTGACCAAACATCTCTCTGGCTGAAAACGATAAGCTATAAAATGCAAGTCTCTTCAGTCAAGCTTGGCCTTGCTCCAACAGCAAGCAAGTTCTAAGATCTATAGAGACCAGGAACAGTAGCACATTCATCATACAAAGTTGCATATTTGTCCAGTACAGTGATAGTATGCCACAGTCCCATTCTCCACGTACCTCACATAATACCACATAATATCTTGTGATATTACCCCCCCTGCCCTGCCAAACCCCCTCCCCCCAAATACCAACCTCTCTCCATGTTTCTAGACTCCAGGCCCCCACCCTCACTTTTTCCCAAAGCATGTGCTACCTTTTTTATTAGAAAATACTTTCACAGGAGATGAGCATCTGCTGACTTGGTGAGCTTTTATTTCCTATCTCAAATTGTCTTTGAGAGATTGGTGGTGAGTTGAAAAAAGATTATCTGTGATAAGGGTCGCAAAGGATAATCTCAATGAGGGAAGAGTTTAGATGTTAAAAGAAATAATCTCACAAATATAATCCACAATCTGAAGTTTTAAAACATTAAATTTAATGTCAATTTATGAGTTAGGAACCATATCCATTAATATTCTGGACTACTGGAATGACAGTCTCATTAATAATTTTCTGTAAAATGATCTCTATTGGAACTCAGCAATGATGGTGGAGACTTTTGATAAACTTTCTTCATCAGTACATTGAATGTTAAATTCAGAATATCGAAATTCAATTGCAAATGTCCCTATGAAGAGGAGGAAAAGCATCACCCATAACCACTGGGTTCTTGCTCCATGGAAATATTTACGTTGTGCAACCAGAAAAAGATCTATTTATAATTTAGTTAAGGAATTCAGCAAATAATTCTGAGGCAGTAATCCTGGTTTACATTATTATTTTTTAAAATGATAAGCAGTGACCAAGTGATTGTGTTAATCATTTATAAAGCTGGAATATCACAGTGATGACCTGTCATGTATGATAAATCGGGTTTAACTTAAACATTATACTAAGTGTATGCAAATCTATGTTAATGATATGTAAAGTGAAAATGTCCTGTATGGATGGAATCTCAAAGGACATCTGATTGAGAAGAGAGTGCAAGAAAAATTCAAAGATATTTAGATTTCAAAGACATGCTGGAAATGATTGGCTGATCAGGGAACATGTGTGAAAAAAGGCCATAAACCATCTGTAGTGCTCATACTCCTTGCTCAGGTCTTGTTAACTAACTCTTCTGGTTCTTGCAGTTTAATACTTGGATTGCCCAACTGTGTATGGTTCTAGATGGGCCACACAAGCAGAGGATTTTCCACCTGAGTCTTCTGTCTTGCATGTAATCAGACTCAGCCACAGAGATCTCTATGAGTCAGAGTGACAGACAATCGGTAATTTGATTGTTCTGATTCAATTTTCCAATTCTACCCAACATACACATAAGTGGAATTTTCCTGTTTTCAGTCAAAGTGTTTTTGTGGAGTGAGATTCATGGTGTCCAGTCTGCAATGGTTTGGAATGATTTTTGTCACACAGTCCTCCACTCATCACATCATTAATTGTACAACTTGATTCCCTCCTCATGGTACTGTGAGGTGGAAATGCCCTCCACTGCCAGGAACTTATGGCAATTGTGCAACTGGATCGCCCAGCTGCACACCACTTCAGATGCTGCAAGACAAGAATGACTCTCATATAGTGATGCTCAACCTCTACCTTCAGGACATGGCCCAGAAAAAAGGGAAGTTCACTCCTCACTGTGCAGACAGAAACCTAGTGGTGTTGACAAATGGAGTGATGGAGAGGAGCGCAGTCCTTTTTCTGGCAGACTATGGAGAGGAGCGCAGTCATTTTTCCTGCAGACCCAGTAGAGACCATACCACCAGACTGAGACAGCCTGAACCCAAAATACAGCTGAAGTCAGTGCTGGGTTGTGGATGACTCACCTCATCCTCGCTAACTACTATCTCTTCGTGCCATCACTGCATCCTACTCACTCAATGAGGACAACTCACCACCTCTCCTACTCATGCATCACCACTAACTACTCTTCCATTCACTTTGATCACACTCAGTCCTTCCCTCTGACTCATTGCAGGAATAATTGGCCTACCATCTCAACTGATATCACCACAACACCCTGACTGAGCAGGACCAAGTGCCTGACTGACATGACCAACCCACTGGAGTGAAACTGCACCAGCCCCTTGACTAACTGCTCTTTCACCCCACTAAAGACTGCTTCCCTTTGACTTTCTCAGATGGTCATTTGCTTGAAGCATGTGCAGTATGTTTGCTGCATACAGTGCTGGCGCATGCTGCAGGTGTGACATTGACATAGCCCATTGTCACACAGAGACATGTTCATTCCCTCCAGTGCTCCCCATGGTCACAGCTGTCTATATTTCCCTCTGTGGTAAACAGCAATGTAAGCCATAGAGGCTGGTAGTTTGTAGCTGAACACTAAAGCCCTGGATGTTAGGAACTCAGTGTGACCCACACAGAAGCTAGAAAACTGTAAGTCAGCACTGAAATTAGTGAATGTGTGCTTGGAAAGCAATGCTAAGTAGCAAAAGGCTACTAAGCATAAAGCAAGTGAGCAGTAAGAAAGTCAGCTAACAGCTGGATGATGTATCCTGTGTAGATGATTGAGGTGTGTGTCCCTGTGCAATTTGGCCGGTGTGCAAGTCATAGGTGTTTCTGAGCTCCAAAGTAAAGGGTTGAAGTGGTGTGTGAGTTGGTATGAGAGCAAGCATAATGATGTGGTGAGGCTGGATGTTTGTTGATGTCAACTTGCACGGATGAAGGGTCAAGAAGAATGGTGGCCATAGAACATACAGGGACATGGTTGTGAAGAAGCATTTACATGATGGCTGGGACAAACAATGGGTGGGCTACAACCACCAGGTATCCACTCTGACTAGTGGGACTTGGTACCATCTAGTTTCTCAGGGGAGGGGAGGAGCATTGGAAGTGGCTGTAAATAGTTGAGTTGGGGCTTTCATGAGATGTGGATACATGAAAGTAAAATGGTCGCCATTCAATTCCAAGATTCTGAAGTCGCTATATTAGGCTTGAAGGGAAAAATTTACGAGATCCTGAGTTTTTTTTCATTCTCTCCACACTTTCCTACCTTTTGTGTGATTGATCACACTGCATCAGGAAGGAGAAAATTCTGCCCATAGATCAAAAGATACACAGGATGATGGTTATGGAGATAGCTATTGCAATCATAGCACGCAATATTCCAACTTTAACTCCTTCATGCTTTAGATTTGCCTGAAAAGTTAAAACAACCTGGATCCAGCAGACTACAATCCCAAAACCGAAGACCAAAACTGTGCCTGTGTTGTGTACCCATTCATTTTTAGAGATCTGGGAACATTAAAAATCAGTTACTATTTGAACACAAAATACATTCAATTGCTCTAAGTGTAATGTCATCATCAGTACAGAGACTAATAACAAAGACTACATTAAGGTTAAAGATCTTGTTGAATGAAAACTATCATAAACTTAACAACTTCAAAATGAGATATTCCACCAAATAGCTGAGACTAATCTTGAAAGCATCTTGAAAGTGGGGTTGGGGAAGGTAGGTGGGATGGTGATAGGTGAGTGTACAGGTAGGGAGTGGTGGGGATTGGTCAGTGAGGTGGGAAGGGCGGATAGGTGGGAGAAAGGATGGACAGGTTGTGTCAGGTCAAGGAGGCAGGGATGAGAGGGAGGGTTGGTCATAGGGTGAGGCCGGGAGCAGGGAAATTTTGAAACTGGTAAAATCCACATTTAGGCCATCAGGCTGTAGGCTCCCGAGGCTGAATATGAGGTGCTGCTCCTCCAGTTTGTGGGTGGCATCGTTGAGACACTGGAGGAGGCCCAGGATGGACATGTCACCCAGGGAGTTAAAATGGTTCACGACTGGAAGGTGTTGACGTTTGTCACGAACAGAGCTCAGAGCTCTACAAAATGGTCTCCAAGCCTCCGCTTGGTCTCACCGATGTAGAGGAGGCCACATCGGGAGCAGCGGATACAGTAGGCCACGTTGACGGATGTGCAGGTGAACCCCTGTCTAATATGAAAGGTTTGTTTTTTGCCTTGAATGGAGGTGGGGGGGGGGGGTGGGGGGGCGGGTGGAGCACTTCCGGCGGTTGCGGGGAAGGGGGCGGGGGGTGGTGGGGTTAATGGGGAGTGTGGAGCGAATGAGGGAGCCACAGAGAGAGCGGTCCCTACAGAAGGCAGATAGGGGTGGGGAGGGAAATATCTCTTTGATTGTGGGGTCGGATTGTAGGTGCAAAAGTGGCAGAGAATGATACGTTGGATACGGAGGTTTGGTGGGGTGGAATGTGAGGACAAGGGGGATTCTGTCTTTGTTTTTGATGGGGGGAGGGGATGTGAGGGCAGGGGTGCAGGAAATGCAAGAGATACGGTTGAGGGCATTTTCGACCACTGAAGGGGAGATGGTGCGGTCCTTGAAATAAGAAGACATTTGGGATGTGCGGGAGTGGTGTCAGTTTCAAGGCAGTCACTAGAGATGGAGACAGAGAAGTCCAGGAAGGAGAGGAAGGTATCGGAGATGGTCCAGGTGAATTTGAGGTTGGGGTGAAAGGTGTTAGTAAAGTTGATGAACTGTTCACGCTCGTCACGGGAGCACGAGGCAGCACCGATACAGTCATCAATGTAGCGGAGTAAGAGGTGGGGGATAGTGTCAGTGTAACAGTGGAAGAGGGACTGTTCCACGTATCCTATGAAAAGGCAGGCATAGCTTGGGCCCACATGGGTGCCCACTGGACACCCCTTTAGTTTGCAGGAAGTGGGAGGAGTGAAAGGAGAAATTCTTAAGGGTAAGGACAAGTTCTGTTAAACGGATGAGGGTGTAGGTGGATGGGGACTGGTTGGGCCTGTACACTTATATCCCCCACGCAGATGACATAAAAACCCTCCGCTTCTTCCTCTCTCACAGGCCCAACCATCTCTGATACCTCTGTATCCTTCCTGGACCTTTCTGTCTCCATTTCTGTTGACTGCCTCAAAACCGACATCTATTTCAAGCCCATCGACTCCCACAGCTACCTGGACTACACCTCCTCTCACCCACCTTCCTGCAAGAATGCCATCCCCTACTCCCAATTCCTCCGACTACGCTGCATCTGCTCCCAAAATGTGGTGTTCCACTCCCGCATGTCCCAGATACCCTCCTATTGCAAGGACCACAACTTCCCCCTCCAGTGATTGAAAATGCCCTCAACCGCATCTCTTGCGTTTCCCGCACCTCTGCCCTCACATCCCCCCCGCCAACAAAAACAAAGACAGAATCCCCGTTGTCCTCACATATCACCTCACCAACCACCATATCCAACGTATCATTCTCCACCACTTCTGCCACCTACAATCTGACCCCACAACCAAAGAGATATTTCCCTCCCCACCCCTATCTGACTTTCATAGGGATCGCTCGCTCTGTGACTCCCTCATCCGCTCCAAACTCCCCACTAACCCCACCACCCCCAGCACCTTTCCCTGCAACCGCAGGAAGTGCTATACCTGCCCCTACACCTCCCCCCCACCTCCATTCAAGGCACAAAACAAACCTTCCATATTAGACAGGGGTTCACCTGCACATCCGTCAATGTGGTCTATTGTATCCGCTGCTCCTGATGTGGCCTCCTCTACATCAGTGAGACCAAGTGGAGGCTCAGAGACCATTTTGTAGAGCATCTGCACTCTGTTCGCAACAAATGACAACACCTTCCAGTCGCGAACCATTTTAACTCTCCCTCCCACTCCCTGGGTGACATGTCCATCCTGGGCCGCCTCCAGTGTCTCAATGACAGCACCCACAAACTGGAGGAGCAGCGCCTCATATTCCATCTCAGGAGCCTACAGCCCGAAGGTTTAAACATGGATTTTACCAGTTTCAAAATCTCCCCACCCCTGGCCTCATCCCATGACAAACCCTCCCTCTCATCCCCACCTCCTTGACCTGACACAACCTGTCCATCTTCTCTCCCACCTATCCGCTTCTCTCACCTCACTGACCAATCCTCACCACCCCCTACCTGCACTCACCTATCACCATCCCACCTACCTTCCCCAGCCCCACCCCTCTTCCCTCTATTTATTTCTGAGCTCCCTTCCCCCTCCCCATTTCTGAAGAAGGGTCCTGACCTGAAAGTCAACTTTCCTGTTCCTCTGATGCTGTCTGGCCTACTGTGTTCCTCCAGATTTTTTTAAATCTTCACTTTAGATGCCCAGTTGCAGATGTTTTAATTTAAAAGCTATAACAAAGCCAAAGGTGCTCCATCCACAAATAATCTGACTGTTCTCCTAGTTGAGTCTCATCCAAATAAATATTAAACAATTCCTTCGTTTTATCTCTTGCTGCAAGGCTAAAAGTCCTTACTCTGCAGAACAGTGCCTGAAAACACTGCCTCCTGTTTGACTGCCATCAGAGTTTGCAAACATTGTTCTTACTCGCGGCCATCATAAAATTTTTCTGGAGAGCGCTCAGAAAAAAGTTACCAGGATGTTGCTGGGAATGGAGGGTTTGAGAAATAAAAAAGATTGGAAAGGCTGGGTCTTTTTTCAGTCAAGTGTAGGAGGTTGAGGGGTGACCTTATTGAGGTTTATAAAATCATGAGGGACATAGATAAGGTGAATGGCAACGGTCTTTTCCCTAGGGTGGGGAAGTTCAAAACTAGGAGGCATTTTTAAGGTGACAGGAGAATGATTTAAAAAGGGCATGTAGGGCAACTTATTTACACAGAGAGTGGCTCTTGTGTGGAATGAATTGCTGGAGAAAGTGGTGGATGCAGATACTGTTACAATGTTTAAAAGACATTTGTGTAAGTTCATGAATAGGATAAGAATAAGATAATAGAATAAGATCTGGGAGGATATGGGCCAAACACAGACAGGTGGTTCTAGTTTAGTTTGGGTACATGGTCAGTGTGGACTGGTTGGACTGAAGGGTCTGTTTCCATGTTGTATGACTCTATGATTCTAAGTAACGAATAAGGTAGCATAAGGAAAAAGCAAGGAGTCATATAAAACGCATTTAGATAAGACTCATTTGGGTGAGCTGTCAGATTATTTTTAGTTGGAGTAGCTAAAATGAGAAAAATGGACTACTGCATCTAAACTGATTATGTGATTCAAAGAAAGAGAAATGAGGGGACTATTGAAAATTGCAGACAATTGTCGTTTGTTGACAGTTAGCTTCTATAAAGACAGCGAGATGAAATTTCCATTGCACCCACCCCCCATCAGTTGTGGCAACTTAGGAGAAAGATTGGTGGAAACGGCAATTCAAACTATTCCTCCAGGGTTTCTGCCAATCTGTCACCAAAGGCACAGGGTAATAACTCTGGAAAAGCGCCTGTGGAAAATCCAGGCCTGATATTTTCCCCATTTTTAAGTGTATTTTCTCTGCTCCTTTTAAATGTAATATTCTTCCTCCCAAACTGACATCGTACGCAGCCCTTCTCTATCCTGTCCTGTATCTGTCCACTAGATGGCACCAATGATCCCGTCGTTCACGTCAGCGTTCATGTTCCATTCTCCTTAAAGTAACTTTCCAGAACACATTCGCCATAAATGGTAATCGCTGAGATCAAAATATGTTTTATACTTACTGTGACAAGACCATGGTTTCAAAAGCTAGTGTGAACTGTGAAATGCTCAGCTGTAACAGAGGTGGTGGTATTCAATGAAGGATGATGCTTTGATGATCAGAAACTTTGAGATTATACCTGGAAATTGGCCACTAAAGTAATTCCAAGAGCTGCTACACTTGATGCTAACGCCCCAAAGATATTCAACCATGGTTTCTTCATTTTCGACTTCAGTTGTGAAAAACGAAGTATACCAATAGCAGCCACTGTCGGGGGAGGGGGTGGGGAGAAAGAGTAACAATAAACAAGCATAATAAATTAGTTTCATTGATAATGGTCAACATCTACTCAATTTTGTAATCTCTGTTCAAATGACCGTCAAACTGCTCCCACTCATAAAAGAATCAAGCACAAAAGGGCACAGATTCAAAGTGAATGCAAAAAACAAGCAGTATGAGAGGGAAAACTTTCATACAGTACATGGTTGGGGTCTGGACTGCATTGCCTGGAAACTATGTTGGAGGCAGATTCAGTTGAAGCATTCAAGAGGGCATTACGTGATCACTTAAATAGAAGAAAAAGTGCACAGGGTATGTGGGAAAGAGCAGAAGAATATCATGAGGTCATGATGTTAACTTGGAGGGCCAGTGCACTTATGATGGGCTGAACAGCTTCTGTGTGCATTGCAACAATTCCAAGATTCTGTTAGCAGTGAGACAGTAATTTAATATCATCGAAGAATTGCACATAAAAGTTGAGAAACTGTCCATCCACACAGTGCAAATACAGACTAACTTAATTTCTCACATCAAGTTAGGGCAATGTTCATTTCAAAAGAGCTGCAAATGAAGACAGTGTATGAATGAGCCGTTTACAAGCAATGACAGACAGTCCAAACTACTGAAAGTATAAAGTGACCAGCTCTCTTTCCCCTGAAGCAGCACAAAATTTACACACAACTATAATGACAGATTTTACTGTTGGGCTTTTTAATTGTGCCAAAAAGCAAAACAAAAATGCAGATGCTGGAAATTAGAGACAAAAGAAATTAGAAACACAGCACATCAGTTGGAGAGATCAGAAGTGAATATTTCAGGTTTGAGATAGGATTCATGCCTTAATTTGTACTCTTCATTCTACAAAATACTGCCAGGCCCACTCAGTGTTTCCAGCATAATCTGATTGTGTTCCCCAACTGTGCATCTTCCTGCCAAAATCTTCAGCTCCATTCATTTTAGTTTTCAGCAAAAAATTGCAGACTGTCCAGCACAGGGGCAGAAAACCCTTCTTCAAAGTTACAGCCAGCTTTCACCATTGTCTTTTATCCTACACTTTATTTCCATGGAGTTCTCGATCTTAGAAACAGAGAAATTCAATATAGCAGAAGGGTCTCATTCAGCCCATTATGTCAGTTAGCTGAGAAAAGAGCTATTCGGCCTATCCCACTTTGAAACTCTTGAAGATGAATCTTACCATTTTTTGGCAAAGTACAAATCACATAGATTTTAGTGGAGTGATTCTTGTTTTTGCATGTATCTTACCAAACTCAATACACAAATTACTGTTTGAACCATCACTTTGAGAATCATGTCCTATTTCCACCATACACTATTCCTGGAGTAACCTGACACTCACTAGAGATCCTGAATTGACTGGCATCCCCTGGTGCAGGTGTCATATCAAAAGTCGATTATGCACCCAGACAAGCACTGTCAGTCTGGAGATGCCCTGCATTACCTGACATTTGCCCTTTTTACTTGTTTTCTTAACTAATTCATTAAAAGTACAGCTGAAATTACAGACAGGCCTCCAGTAAAATCTACACATTCCTAAAATCTCAGGGTTTCGCCTTTAGTATTAGGAATAGTGAATTCCATTAGAGCTTTCACTTTAACTGTCCTTGGCAAAATTTGTCCTGGTCCTATAATTTGTCAATAATAAAACAATATAGAAATAGGAGAGAAAGCAGGCCATTCAGCCCATTGAATCTTCTTTGCCATTCAATGACATTCAATGGCTGATCTGACAATCCTCAACTCCACTTTTCTGTCTTTTCCACATTACCCTTGATTCCCTTACTGATTAAAAACCTGTCTATCTCAGCCTCAATAGCCCTCCGTAGTAAATAATTCCACTGATTCACAACCCTCCGTGAGAAAACAAAATCCTTCTCACCTGTATCTTAAATGGTGACCCGTTATTGAGATTATGCCCTCTGGTCCTAGAATCTCCCACAATGGGAAAAAACCTTTCCACATCTACCCTGTAAAGTCTTCCAAAAATGCTGTTTGTTTCAATTAGGTCATCTCATTCTTTTTTATTCCAACAAGGGCCCAGTGTATTCAGCCTGTCTTCTTAAGACAGTCCCTCCGTACATGGTATCAGTCTGGTGAACCACCTCTGGACTGCCTCCAATGCCTGTGTACATTTTCTTAGGCAAGGGGCCCAAGACTGTTCACAGTCTTCCAGTTGTGTTCTGCCTTGTATCGTTTTTGCAAAATCTCCCTACTTTTACATTCCATTCCTTTCAAAATAAAGGCCAACATTCCATTTGCTTTCATATTACCCTCTGAACTTAAACACTAGCTTTATTATGATCCTTGCACAATGACTTCCAAATCCCTCTGAGCTGAAGACTTTTGCGGTCTTTCTCTATTTAAATAATATTCATCTCTTCTAATCTTCCTGCCAAAGTGCATAATCTTACACTTCCCCACATTATATTCCATCTGCCAAGTTTTTGCCCACTTGCTTAACCTGTCTCTATCCTTCTGCAGACACTTTGTGTCATCCTCACAACTTGCCTTTCCATCTATTTTTGTATTATTCACAAAACTGGCTCCAGTATATTTATTTTCTTCATCCAAACCAATATATATTATAAACAACTATGGCCCCAGTACCAATCCCAATGGCATGCCACTAGTTACATGTTGCCATCCTGAAAGTATGCCTAGATTGTTTCCTTAAATTCTGAAACCTTTGCCTATATACCTCAGACTATAATGCATTTGCAGCCTTTTTTTTTACAGCATCATAATCCTAAAATGCCTCTTCTGCCAGTGAAGCATCCATTTCCTGTGCTTTATCTGTCAAGCTATTCTGCATGCTCAATGTCCAATTCATTTGTCTTCACAATTTTCTTGAAGGACGTAAAGGATTCCTTCACAGCCTTTTCCTCAAACATTGTTAAGGTCTATACAAACTTAAACATTTCCTTACTGAAGTCTAGATAATGATTCGGATTCTCCCAAACATCTCATCAACGTCTGATGTCTCTTGTTTAAAATGCAGCTTATATTTACGCCGATATTCATTTTCTCTATCTTTCTCTTGCCTTTGCATCTCTAATTCTAATTCTAATTCCTTCTAGTTCAATATCTTGTCTTTTTTAACTCCATCTCCCTTTCCATATCCTTTTCTACTCTTTGAAATTCCAACTCCAACAGTTTTATCTTTTCTTCATGGTCAAGCTGCTTTCACTGTAACTCACTATCACCAGATTCCAACGTTTCACAACCCAAAGTGTCTGATATCTCCTGTATTTCTACTAAACCATAGCTGTGCTAGCCCATTGATTATGTCTGCCTTCTTCTAAATGGATTATATGCAAAATTTCAAATTAAGACTTTTTCTGTAACGAATAAATTAAATGAAACATTGACTAAACACTATTTCTGATGGCAATGTGCAGTAAATTACAGAAAAGATCCCCCATTTAATATTTAAAATGACCAAAATGTCCCTCTACTTTGTCCCTTAAGTAGCCATTTCTTTCTCCAGGAACCAGCCGAAGCTATTCTCAGCTACATTCACCAGGCAGATAATTCCTACTCCCCTAACGGCACTTAATGATGCAGGAGAAATTGAATCCTTCCCTCTAACTAAAGCTAGATGATTCTTCCAGTTTCATTTAGACTGTTACGAACTTGGTCTGTTCAATCTGAGTGAGCGATCCCATCTGCATCTTAGCTGGTGAAAAATAGAGACTTTGTGCCTCTATCTCATTGTTCCCTCTGTCTGGTTCTTGCAGATTGTTACTGTATATTTAGTGATATTTTTCTCAAAATCTACAGCAAAACCTACAAATCTACGAACACATTGGCCTTGTATGCAGGTAGAAAAGCTAATTAGTTATCCTTTAGACTTCAGTCTTCATTCTACCTTGGATTTAAATGGGCAGTTTAAGATATAATCATTTACAAAGAGTAGCATTCCTTACACTTCCATGTGACTTGTAGACTAACAATATTTTCACGGACAATACAGCTGCTTATGCCAATATAAAACATACACTGGAAACCTACTTAGTAACTCTGCTGACACATAAGTATACCCTGTCTACTTAGTAGTCTGTCATCTATAATTTTATTTGAAGGTCACAGCGGAGTAACCTTTGCCTATTCATAAACCTCAGACATTGCTAGAACACTTCACAACAAAACTAACCCTCACTCTCCTTTCCTTCTAAAGAAAGTTGGTAAAAATTTTAAATGGTAAAATTATCAAAGCAAGGAGAAGCTGATATTTTTCTGTTATGCAACTCCCAACTATACGTAAAACATCCAATACTGATCCCTTCCTACCTAGACTTGCTGCCATATTCCCAATTTGAGCGAAGAAAGAACTTGCTGGTGGATAGTCAGCTGCAACACTTTAAAAGAAGAAAGTTATTGAATTTGCATCACATCAGCCAATAGTATGAATATATGTGCATTAGACAGAGGAAGATTTACTGTACCTTATAAAAGGAGGGCGCAATTCACATTGATCGACCCTAGATTCAACACAAAACAAGTCCAAAAAAGGATTTAAAATTATATATATATTGTTGTGCTACCTTTACATTAAATGTATATTTTCCATAATTTTCAAATGTGGGTGTCACAACTTGGCCATGAGGTGACCAACATCACACAGTAATCCCATTCCTGAGTTTGTAACTTCAGTCAGATAAGCTGCTGCAGCTTTTGTGTCATCTATGTTTAAATTATATTATGGAAGCTCTTTCAGATATGACATTCCCTTCTTGGGGCATATATTTGATATTGCGCTATCTAAATGCTTAAGGAAATTGGGGCACATGAAATCAAATGTAAGAATCATTGATTAAACTGGAGTAATGTCAGCTCCTTGGCATGAATCTGACCAAATTTCAAAACATGGAAATCTGAAATAGATGGAAGTCAACGTCCAGTCAATATGTAAAGAGATAACATAGGTCGTAGTTGTTCAGCTAATCAAGGGTGAACATCCAAAATGGAGATTCCTTTTCAAAAATGACAACTGACTTAATCCAGCCTGTATTATTAATGAAATTCAACTGCATCATGAGACTGTACATTCAATACCCTGTATCTCCACAGCAATCCTCTTTCATCTGAATGAAGAAATAGGTTGTGAGCTATGGAGAGAACGATTAGATGTTGTAGCTCAAATTCTAATTTAAGACAGGACTTGTAACAGGGCATTAAAGACGGAGGAAGGGGCAGACAGGATTAGGTAAGAAACTCTAAGATGTAGGTGAATGAAGGCTTCTTTGAAATAAAAGGGGGCCGGGCAATGATTTCCCTCCAAGTACGCCACGAATATCAATATTTAGTTACAAATATTGTTGAAGTCACATGATAGTTGCTAACCATCTTACAAACATTTGTGTCCATTCCAAAAATATAGCTATATAATTGTCATATAGAACACAGAACAGTATAGCACAGAATCAGCCTACCATGTCTGTGCTAATATGATGCCGTTCTAAATTAATCCCATCTGTCTGCACATAATCCATATCCCTGTATTCCCTGCCTGTTTATATGTCTGTCTAAATGTGTCTTAAATCTGCTTCTACCACCTCCCCAGGTGGCATGTTCTAGGCACCCACCACCCTTTGTGTAAAAAACTTGCCTCGCACAACTCTTTTAACTTTTCCGCTCTCACTCTATGCTTAGGCACCCTAGTATTTGACATTTCTATCCTGGGAAAAACCCTTTGACCATCCATCCTATCCATGTCTCTCATAATTTTGTATTCTTCTATCAGGTCATCCTTCAACCTCCGAGGCTCTAGCAAAAACAATCTAAGTTTGTCCAACCTCTTCTTATTGCTAATACACTCCAATCCAGGCAACATCTGAGGAAAAGAGGTAACAAGGTGGAGAGCTGGATGAACACAGCAGGCCAAGCAGCATCAGAGGAGCAGGAAAGCT